GGTTTGACAATTGGTGATAAAATATGTTCTAATATTCATTATCGCCAACGTAATAATAAGATACATACATTATAAAAAATTTACGATTAATTTTGAAATATAAGTACATATGTATTTTTTAAAAAAAAAACAGTATTTTTTATTAATTTTGAAACCAGAGTTTTGTTTCGAGTTCATAAAAGTTTAAGAAATCCACCGAAATTATGATTAATTATGTTTTTTTTTTCAATGTTTAGACAATGTTTAAGTATGTTTTAATTTACGTTGTATTTTGAAATGTTTTTTATTAAATTTTAATGAAATTAAATCTGTTGAACTTCATTTTTGCTAACAAACCTAATTAAAACAGGCAAGTAAAAAAAATATACACGGTGCGTCAGAACTCGGGCCCCAGAGAAAAATTTCAAGTAAGATAAGATACCAGAAACATGGAAAAAATGTTTAAAAAATTCTATCTGTCAAAAAATTTTGACATTTATTTTTTGACAGTTGACATTTTTATGTCTATTTAATGATACTGATGATTTTGTATATGTTTTTTTACAATTATTTAGTAAAGGTACAAACATTTTGCCAATAAAAGCGACAAATAACATTGAACATAGTTACAATTTAGTATAGAGCTTCTTCGTTTCCTCTTATAAAGCCTGTAGCAAAAAAAATGTAAAATTATTTTTCCAAATAAATAGAGTCAAAGTGCAAAATTTAAACTCTCATTACTTTGAAATTTTTTTAGATAAAATTTTTTTAACAATTTTTCCATGTTCCTGGTATCTTGCCTTATATGACAGTTTTCTCTGGGGCGCGAGTTCTGGCGCACCCTGTATTTATGTCGGCCTAGTTAAGTCATTAATGTTGAACAAATATTAAATATTAACTCATTGATGACGACACATTATTACTTTCAGTAATTTTAAAGAAATTTTTGGATTTCTGAGAACACAAAATACATTAATATCTAGGCACACAAACGTCGAGAACATTTTCAAAAAATTAATAAACATCGTAGTACATGACCACTTATATTTCAGAGAACTTAAATTTTTATTTCTAACAACACTTGCAAATCACCAAAACTTATTGTTTTGATGCAGAAAATCTCAAAGACCAGCGCCAACACTGCAATGTTGTATTTTTAGAAATAAGTGTTTATTTACTATTAAAAGTAAGTACACATTTTCTGTTTACATTAAGCTAAAACAAAACTGTAAAACTTTTAAAATAAAAATAAAAGCACTCAAAAGACTTTGGAGTTCTGTGGTAAACAATTTTGAACTTAAGACTTGTTTAAAACAATATGTAATGCAGAAAAATTTGCATGTTTTAACTACATTACGAAAAATCCATTTTTTGTGTTAATTTTTAATGATTTCATTGTACTAAAAAGTCGAATCCACTGCATTAAAGCACAAAGTTTGAACAAAAACTTCACCAAAGCACTTCATATTTGATCACCTGATGGCGGAGATGTTCTAAATATTTAAACCAATTAATTTTGTGGTGTATTTTTTAAAACTGATGAAATTTACATGAGTTTTTATTTGTTCTATTTTTATTACAGTTCAATACTCCACAAAATATTTATCTCTGTGTATTATATTTATTTTTGTGTTTAATTTATCGTAAATATATCCGATTTCAATGTTAAACACCGTATTTATTGTACTGACAATTAAATAGTGCAAATAAAGCCCAAAACCTCGTAATTTACAATTAATTCAGTATCCGTGGATCAAAGCAACAATTTTTTTAAATCAAAGCAAATGTGAAATATTTCCACTTTGATCTGGCATCGATTTCAATTAAAAACAATTAAATGACTAATTAATGGCGAAGAAATTTTTCGGTCTTTCTTATTTTTAAACCCACCCAGAAGCCCCCGTTATCAAATCATCAAAAGTAAATAAATCAGCGTCGATGAATTCTTCCAGGTCCCGGTATCCTCATTAATCATTCGGAGTCTAATGTCGCTGTTTACCTCAGCAAACAGGCGAAGAATCTTCCATTGTCACGCTCCTCCTCCCAACTAAAGCAATTGGTGATTGGGACAAGATTTGGTAAAGTAACGCTTATTGATTTTGACAGAATAATAATCGCGATCGTAAAAGCCTCTCAGTAATTAGAGTCGGCATCCAAAATAAAAGTGTCGGGAGATAATTGCATATTCATATAATAATATCTAACAGGTTAAGCGTAAAATAGCCGTCTGGTTATTTATGGGCCTGGAATGCTTATTGATATTCGTTGGTCATCGTTGAAGAAATTACCATGGAATACCAAGTCAACAATCTCTAAATTGAATTCTTATCGGCGTTTGGAAAAATGTTGAACTCCTGACACGACATACACTTGATACAGGAACAATTTTACACTTATTGTTTTCGAATAAACACTGCTTTATCACAATTTCTTGCCACAATTAATCACTTCAAATCTTGATGGAACGTTTTGAAATCTTATAGATCATATCACGTCTGAATCCTGACACTCCTCGACTTGAAAAGCAGTTAATAAAATAATTAAATTGTAATTAACACAAGCTGAATGATGTAAACATTTTTTTTCAAGTGTTTGAAGCACTCCATAAAATACTAGTGATCTGGTTTTAAAGGAACTAACACTTGTTCTGTCAGTTGCTACTCGGCATAATAGCAGACTCGAGATAATACAGAAGGTCGAATTTTTCTTAATTCATCAAATGAAACACGCAGTAAGTTGGGTAATGGTGAGAGTTAGTTCGATACGGCGTAAAAAAATCATAAACTTGAACTTAGTGACCCATTAGGTAACCATTTGCGGAGAATGGAGAACTGAAATATTCAGTTTTACTTTCAGGAGAAAAGTTTGTTTTTCACACGGTGTGAAAAATGAAAGTCGGGTGGAAATTGATTGGGTCAAACTACAAACGTAAAACTTTCAAAAGGGACAATAAGTTTGAATTAACTTCAAAATAAAGTTTAATAGAAATTATTTCTAAAATGGTATTTTTAGGTACTAAATTTGTGGCTATGGAGAAAAGCTGCTACCAATTTTTTCACCAAAATTTTGACTTGGTAATTTCCATTTAAAAAAAAACAGACTTTACTTCACCCATAAATAAAACTGAAATTCAAAATTTTAGATCTTAGTTTTACAGTTAAACAAATTTTGAATAAAAATTAAAAGTAGATGTTGTTAAAAATGGTAGTGTTAAGTAGAAGAAACGCATCATAAGAAGCTTTACAATTTATTTTTCATGAAAAAAAAATTAAAAACTAAGAATAAACTTTACCTCGCGACATCAGTGACCTTTCCTCTCTTAAACTAGTTTCAGAAACAATTTTTTTCACAGATTATTATTACTTTCAAGATTTATTTCAAGAGTTTAAATACTACATACCAGATGAATAAAAAGTATGGAACCAAACGTTCTTTGTTTAAACTATTTTTTTTTAACTAAATGATTAATAATAAAGAACTATAAAAATGTAATGTTTTATCAAGAATAAAATTTTTCGAAATTGTCTTCTGTTTTTGAGTTCTACCAAAAAAAATATTTTTTGAAGGTTATGATTGAAGGATTGCAACTATCTACTTTATATTTTTTTTTTTACATAAATTGCAATTTTGATCAAGAAAATCGCGTAACTCAAAAACAAAACAACATTTCGTTCTCAAAATACGATCACATTTTTTATACATATTACTTTAATTTATAACAATTATTATTTTCTGGAGGCAAATGATATAAAAAAACCGCTTGGTTCCACACTTTGTCACCTGTACAAATTTCAAGGTATTTCAATTTTCAATTTCAGATTATTCGAAAAAGTAGGTTGGAAATTTAATTTCAAACGCCGGATGATATACGTACAACCAATTAAAATAAAAAGTAAATTTTCAGTATGTATTTCATATTATATTTTGAAATGTTTTGTAAAATTATCCCAAAAAATAACTCTTACTCAAGAGTTGAAGAATTGTCAAAAATTTGATCTTTTTAATAACGTAATAGCAAAATTTTTGTCTAACTAGATTATTATGCAAAATTTTATAAACATAAAGTTTAAAAACTAGTTAAAAATAATTTAAGCTCTAAAATTCTGATGCATGATGTGATTGATATGCCATTTAACTAAATACATACTCCTCCTATTAAATACGGTAGAGTAAATCGTATATTTTATGTATTTAAATGTCATTTATTATAATACATTTATAAGAAATGCAGTTATAAATAGAAAACAAAACATTAATTTTTCACATAAATTAGGTACCATAGATCCACAGATACAGGTGGAAAATCGAGGTTCCTTTAATAAAATATTTTATTTTTGTAGCTTTCATTTTCAATAGTTTACGTAAGTATTAATAAAATTTCCAGTGTACCTAATAGGTTCTTATAAACCTATTTTTTAAAAAGGAATGTTTTAGTGGTCACCAATTTAAGAAAAATTGAATATTTATTTGAACAATAGTTAAAACAATCTGAAAATTGAAGGAACAGCTGTTAAATTCAGTGGACAAAAATTTGCGTAATGTTCCAAAACCATGACATTTCCCAACTCTTAAAAAATTAAATCAATTGATAACGAATTTGTCTTCCAATAAAACATAAAATATTTAGAGTGTTGGAAACTCGAAATGCTTCCATAAACTATCCTTCCGAAACTGAAAGCTTCATCAAAATATAAACAAAAATCCTTTTATGTAATTCCTTTGATAACAACACAACTATTACATAAATTATTCATCATCTAAATGAACTGAGAGATCAAACCTGTAATCCATCAAGGCCGCTGATTGAAGATAAATACCAAAGATAGATTAATAATTAAAATCAATGTTTTATAATTAATCCAACCACTGTGAATATAGTGCTCCAACTGGTCAAGTCCGGAGCCACCCCACCGACCCCAAACCTGTCCAGGTAAATAAGAGCAAAGCAAATATTTGTCCATTTGTACACCATAAAAGAGTGTCCTTAAATTTATAGCCCCCACAAAAATCAAAATTTCTACCTGCCGGACAGATGCATTCTGGAGCCTCCCTCTCGCTCCTGTCAACTCCACGTGCCCCCACATCCCTCTGCACCCTCCTCTTCACCTGCTCCACCGCCTCCCGCTTAAACCTCTCCACCAGCACATCCGCATCCTCCACGGTGCGTCTCTCCAACAGCCGCAGTCTCTCCTCCAACAGCACCACTTTGTCTTGGAGGAGGATCTGCCGCCACCCGTTGTAAACACTCACCACACACAAAACACACACCACCAGCCCCAGGCCGACTGTGGGCGCGCACCCCTTGGTCTTTTTAGGGGGATCCGCTTCCATGACCACCCCTTGCAACGTGGACAATGGCTCGTTATTGCATCGTTTGTTTTTTACCACGAATGGTGGACGAGCGCCGCACCATCCCCCAATTAACCGCACATTATCCAAAGGGTGGATAATAAGAGAGATAACAATGGGGTGAACACGACGTGTGCGTGTGTTGACGACCTAGAGATAGACACGTGCACAACGATTGCTCGACTGAAACTGAAACGAGAAGCGCTTACGGACGACTGGGGATGAAGCGAGTTTTCTGGTGGGCGGGACGAGACGAACGAGAGCGGGGAAACACGAACCAAGGCGTTTCGGGACTTTACTTAAACAATTCCAAAAGAATATTTGAATCGAATGAATATTTTTTCATCAATATCAAAAAATTTCTCGAGTTGTAATTATTCAGTAATTGTCGTTTTCAACAATTTTTATTGGTAATGTAATAGATTTAAATTTTTTATCATAAACTAATTTTAGACCAAAAAAATTACTTGAAAGCTAATAATTATCAGTAATATGCTACTTTTTTTTCTGAAACAAAGTATTTAAACACAGCAACTACAAATCAAATTTTGCTTAATAGGAGAGAATAATCAATTAATAACTTGGAATGTTTGATTTGGATCACCTTGTATCGTCAAAATTCTACTTTGATTTATCAATTTTTTCACAGAGTAAAATTAGGATTTGCGTTTACTCTATGTATAGAAATAATAATATCTGCGTTCGAATGAGTTTCTGAGATGTCTGGAATCGTCATCTTCTTTAATATCGAAATATGATTGCTTCCATAATATCTCTGGCTTGAAGTTTTATTGTGGTTGTAAAAACTTTGTTCGTCATTATTCTTATTTTTGTGAAATGAAAGCAAATCAAGTGGTTTTGATTCATGAAATATTCTATAATTAATGCTCAAAAATACACACACGTATAGATTGATGCCAGACATTAGGACTCTAACAAACTCATTTTCTATTTACAAAAAAGTTATACAGGGTGAATGTAAAGTATGGAACCAAGCTTTTTTTTCTAATGATTTGCCTCCAGAAAATAATAATTAATATAAATTAAAATACTAATATAAAAAATGTGGTCGTATTTTGTGAATGAAGTTTTGTTTTGTTTTTAAGTTATGCGTTTTTTTTTAATGTCAACTTTTGTAAAAATGTTTTTTGGTAAAAATTAAATATAAAATAAATAGTTATAATACTTAGGTCATAACCTTCATGAAAAAAATGGTTTTATAGTAAGTTGCCATTCAAAAAATTAAAACTTCTTTTGTATACGCTCATGAAAACAGCTGTTTTAGAGACTCATTTGAGTCCCTAACATAAGTATTTTCCGGACTCAATAAAATAGTACGCAAAATGGTTATTTTAGGTACTCAGTCCCCAAAAACAGTTTTTCCGGACTAAAAAATTAAATTGGTTACTATGATGGCGAATTTTTTTTAATTAATAAGAGGTGTGAATTCGTATTTTGAGAACTTTAACGAAAAAATGTTGTTTGTAACACGTACCTAAAACGTTTTTGCGGACTCATCAGCTATACCAGACTCACCTAGTCCGGAACAAAATTTGTAATAAAAATAACTATTTCAGAACTCAAAAACAAACAAAAAATTCGAAAATTTTTATTTTTGATAAAACGTCGCATTATTATAGTACTTTATCACAGACATAAATTAGTGTTACCAAAAAATAAATAGTTTAAGCTAAAAACGTTTAGTTTCACATTTCTTGTTAATCTGGTATACATGTAATATACAGGGTGCGCCAGAAATCGTGCCCCAAAGAAAAATACCATGTAATATCAGGAACATGGAAAAAAAATTTGATCTATAAAAATTTGCACTTAGACTATTTATTTTAGTTGGAAAAATCATTTTCACAGACTATTAGAAGAGGAAACAAGGAAGCTGTATCCTAAATTGTAACACTGTTTAATGTTATTTGTAGTTTTTATTGGCAAAATTTTTGTATCTAAATAATTATAAAAAAAAACATATAAGATCATCAGTATCATTAAATACACACAAAAAAATGTCAAACGTCAAAAAATAAATGTCAAAAGTTTTTTGGCACAAGTTTTTAAACATTTTTTTGATGTTCCTGTATAGAGAATTTCCAAATTTTTTCTAAATTTTAGTCGTAATCTAAAACTCGTTTAGAATGATATATTGCGCACTCGTGGACCCGTCACACTCGTCTTCGACTCGTGGGACAAACTTTTCCACTTGTGCGATTTGTTACAGAAAATACTATTACAAAACTTGAAAATTCCTTTTTTACAATATTTTACTAAACCCGTCTAATTGTAAGCTAACATCAATTTAAAAAATGTAACTTGCCAGAATAAAAAAGTAAAAATACAATTTAAACTAGGTTTCACCGACTTCTGACTACTCTCTTTTATAAATTCAATGATTTTGACGTATTTGTTATTGTGCAACTAGAAATTTTTTAAACTTATAAAACAAGAGTTTGAAATATGCTTCAAAAACAGAGTCACTGAAGATTTAGCACTGCTACGTATGAAGATGATGAATTGATGAATTAAAAAAATTGAAGAAATCATACTCGTAATTTTTACAAACCGAAAACCAGATTCGATTAGATTTTGTATTTTTTTAATTTTAATAAGTATACAAAAAGAGTGTAATTTAATGTGACAACGAGTGGTACAATGAATATTTAGGTGTTTTGGTAATCTTTTACAACCCCAAATTATAAATAAATGTTTTGTTTGTGTTTTCAGCAAATTCAATTAAAATAAAAATTAATAAGTTTACTCGAGTAAATTAAATTAATCAATTTTTTTAATCAAACAATACGTACTTAAGTAACTACAAGTATAGTCAAATTTATTTCAGGTAATATGTTTTCTGTCTCTTCTGTTGAAAATGGTAGTGAAGGAGAATAATGAATTGGTCAGATCCAGTGATTACAGCTTTGGGGTAAGTCCCCATTTGTTTCCGCCGTAGGTACCAACGTAAATCGTCGTAATACAGCCAACAACATAAATAAAGAAAATAAACGTCGTGTAGATAATATCTGTAAAGAAACGTTTAAAGTACATAAACCAAGCTATTAATATTCTTCATAAATATATCAAAGACAAACATCAGCGGTCTGTGTACATAATTTCAGCATCTTAATTAAAACGTACATGCAATACACCAATACGACTAAGTACAACATGCCACTTAGGATAATTGCGACTTAAATCTCATCGATTTTCTGCTTTAAGCCTCGTTATTTCCCCTGACTCGATTATTATTTGGTACTTAGGGAAAAATAGAGGTGTTAAGTGAAAACCCAGCACTCGGTCACGCGATATCCCTGGACGGGGCATATTTATTTGTTTGGGGGAGGCTTTCGCAATGATTCATTTAAGGGTGACTAATTCCTAAGTTTATTTTCAATGTATTGATTTTTACACCGGAGAAATCCGGTAAAATTTGAGCATAAAACATATCATACAGTGTGGCGATTTTTTCGCTGTTGGCAGTATTGTAATGTGACTGGATGGGAATGAAGTTTATTTGAATCCATTCATATTCATGGATTGTCAAGGTCGAGGCTTAAGAGGGCACTTGCTGTTCATGTCCAGCACGCAGGTGGTCAAAGTCGAGGCTTCTCATCTTCATAATGACTAAATTATCAATGGAAAGCGATTTTATACGGAATAACTTATTCTTATACGTGTTCGATCGCTTATTTTTTTCTCTTTGCTTCTTTCTTTTATGATGCTTTGTTAAGTACAAGTAGTACAGCAAAACTTCTACATTATTATCGCCGCTTTTATGTTGTTTATTTATTCGTGTTAAAAACTTGTTTTATTACGCTTGTAGATTATTGTTACAAGCAACAATTTTTATGATGCTACTAAAAAAGCAGTTTCACATTTTGGCGAAAAATCAACTGTCAATTAACAACAATTAACAAATTTGTTTCAAATATACCATTTGCATTTATGACGTCTGTCTTGGATAAACGAAAAAAGACAAAGCGATTAGACTCCTAAAAACCTTAAAAGGTTTTGGAGGGTGATTCCCTAAATCAATACAAGACTAGTTATTATACAAGACGATAAAGAAAATGTTTATCTACGAGTAAAAAGGTTGGCGCACCCTGTATATTATGAAATTATGAAACTCATTTCTGAAGCTGCCTGAACATATAGTTAAAAATAATTTATATGTTGTACAATAATGCAGTAATTTTTTATACTCTTAATTCATTGAAATTTTATTATTAAATTGAATAATAAGAACTTAGCGTAGGGGAAGGCGGGGTAAGACGGGGACCTTAACGTTTAAAGTCGAATAAAAAACTAAATATACATCACAGAAGTTCGAAACTCAACTTAATCAGTCTTCTCTCTGTTAGACTACAATAAAAAAAATAACAAAAATAATTTTTTTTAAATAACGATAAAAAGAAATAAAAACACTTTTACCCCATCTTGCCCCACCCTTGGGGTAAAATGGGGTCCCCCATTGGGCAAGATGGGGTACTACAGTTTTAAAGACTGCGTCTTCATCGTCGTCATCGACGCCAGTGCAGCCCTAATGTGCCCACTTCCCATACATAGCTGACATGTGATCCATCCTTCTTTGCTGTAGCAATTATTTTGGATCTCGATTTGGGCACAATAAATAATCCAGTTTCATCACAATTATAAATTTTATCCGGAGTAAATTTATATTCATTTAGAGCTTTTCCTAACAGATCAAAAAACTTTTCCACCGACACTCTATTAAATCCCGCAAGTCCAGCAGCAGAAGTATTTTCTGGTTTCCTAATCTTTACCAGCTTTTGCCTTGACTTCATGAACTTATGTTGCTTATTATTGACAACTGCCAATTGATATGCCCCATACCCCATTTTGCCCCAACGGGATCTTGTAGGTAAAAAAAATATTCATTTTATAAATGGACAAGTAATCGTGTAAATAACTAGTCTAACATCAAGTTTAAAGTACAGGGATTGCAATAAAACGATGTTGTTCACATCACAAGCTATGTATTTCTGACAGTCACGTTCGAAACACAATAGAAAAATAACATCAAATAATTAAAAAAGCTTTTGCCGCAGTGAAAAGTTTTGAGATACTTCTACAAAATAACGTTAACAGTTTTATCAAAACTGTTTTTGTTTTTGAGATATCTTACCTCGCTACCCCGTCTTACCCCTCTTTCCCCTAATATAGTTTTGTAGTC